AGTCTCAAAAGTTGCCCTGCACAGCTAAGGACCAAGGGGAACCTACATATAAAATTTGAGAAAGATCCCTCTAGTACTTCTTTAGAAATACCGATAACAAACTTTCAATATCAAAATCCAAGATGGCTGCCTGTCGGCCATGTTGTTTATCTGATCAGTCTCAAAAGTTGCCCTGCACAGCTAAGGACCAATGGGAACCTGCATATAAAATTTGAGAAAGATCCCATTTGGTACTTCTTGAGAAATACCGATAACAAGAATTGTTTACGGACGGACCACGGACCACGGACCACGGACGCAGGGTGATTTGAATAGCCCACCATCAGATGATGGTGGGCTATTCAAACAGTGTTTTCATTTTAGCAAGAAATAAGAATTTGACAAAACACTGAGGTAAATTCAGCTACAGCATCTCTTTTAAAACCAACAGGGCACACAAACTTCTACTCCCAAAACAACTGTAGTTGCTTACAATGTCCTTTTTACAATACAGTACCGTAAGTTTTATTTTACTTTCACTTATAAGCAAACATTGTTGTTTCAGCTCATTTTACTTACGAAGTGCTTAATTTTTCTATAAACTAATAAGGTACACTACAAGAAATGTATAACAGAATTATAATAGAGGAACAATTATTGATACTCATGAAACATTATTTTACAAGTGATCCAAGAGGGATCCAGGCGCCAACCATTGCAGTACAATCTTCATTTGTTCTGTCAGTTCGATCTTTTCTCTTCTTTTCTCGTATCTGTTCGATTGATTCATGTAAACAGTAAATGTACCTTAAGGTAACTATTTTGTTTATTCCACCAATCTCAAAAATAAACATGCACAGCTATACGGACCAAGAGGAACCTACATATGATTAGAAAGAATCCTCCAGGACTTCCTGAGAAATAGCGATAACAAACATTCACTGTCAAATATCAAAGATGTCTGCCTGTCGGCAATTTTTTTGTCCAAACCGTCTTAAAATTAAACATGCTCAATAAAAGACTAAGGAAAATCTACATATCAAATTTGAGAAAGATCCCTAAAGAACTTCCTGAGAAACAGTGACAACAAACCCGAAATGTCAAAATCCAAGATGGCCACCTATCGGCAAATTTGTTTATCCGATCTGTCTCAAAGGTTAACATGCACAATAAAGGACTACAGGGAATTTATGTATCAAATTTGAGTAAGATCCTTCCAGGTTTTCCTGAGAAATAGCAATGACAAACGTTGAATCACTCAAAAAAATATCCAAGATGGCCAACTGTTGGCCATTTTGTTTATCTGAGCCATCTCAAAAATAAGGATACACAACAAAAGACCAAGGGGAACCTACATATCAAATTAAAGAAAGATCTCTCATGTACAACCTGAGAAATAGTAATAACAAACTTTCACTGTCAAAATCCAAGATGGCAGCCTGTCAGCCATTTCATTTATGCGATCAGTCTCAAAGCTAAACATGCAAAACTACAGATCAAGGGGAACTTACATATCAAATTTGAGAAAGAATGACTGAAACATGCATCTGATCATCTTCACTGTTGTGTTATTGTTCTATTTCAGTAATTCATATAATAAAATAAGCTTGGTCATTCCTTTGAGCAAAGTTGCTACAAACTTTTTACCTGGATAAAAACTATCATAGGACCTTTAAAAAATTCCCTGAACTGCATCACAAGCTCATTCGTGCAGAACCATCGTTCTGTCTTTTCTTGGTCATCATCTTTAGGTTTACTGCATAACAGGAAATGGCTGATCTTTCCATCTTTTTCTTCAATCTTTCCATGAGAACTGATTGAAACAGCAAGGCAGCAGTCAACATGATTTTTCAGCTCGGGTTTCACTTAAAAAAGAAAACATCAATTACATGTATTTATGAAACAAGAGGCCCAGATGGCCTGTATCGCTCACCTGTTTATTTCAGCCGTCATAGCAAAATATTCTCATTCTATAGAAAACTTTGTCATGCTCCATCCGTGGAAGCTACCAGCCAAATTCAATCATATGATTTTATGCTATTTGGTTTTTCAGAAGAAGTTGTTTGAAGTGTTTGACATATTTGACCCCTGTGACCTTGAATGGAAGATCCAGGTTTTTTTCCATTCGCATGCTTTGTAAGGCGCGCACATCCAAGAAAGCTCCAAGCCAAACATAATAATTCAATGCCTTTAGATTATTCAGAAGAAGTTGTTCAAAGTGTTTGACAATTTTGACTACAGTGCCCTTGAAAGTAGGTAAAGGTAATTTTCATTCGCAAAGTTTGTTGATCCTAAACCCAGGAAGCCACCAGCCAAGTATTATGATTTTATACCTTTCAGTTCTTCAGAAGAAGTCGTTTAAAAGTATTTGACATATTTGACCCCTGTGGCCTTAAAAGTAGGTCAAGGTCATTTTCGTTCTCAAACTTTGTCGAGCCCTTACCAACGAAGCTTTTAGCCATATATCATGACTCTAGGCTTGTCCATTCTTCAGAAAAAGTTGTTTAAGGGAAAAGTTGACGGACAACGACAGGCAGATGACAGACCCCGCACCGTGTTTGTTATGCACATGGGTCCATACCAAATTTAGTGAAGTGGTCAATATTAGAACCGATATCTTCACTCAGAGACAAATATCATTTCTGATATCTGTCACACTGTTAAAGATATTAGTTTATTAAGTTGATAGAGTTCAATATCTTGCTTGCAAAACTGACATAATTTATCTTTGTTAATGTTCCGAGCCAGAGTACAATACTTTACTTTTGTTGATTAGATATTTGTCAAATTGTCAACCTGATGTTCCAATCCCAACTTTGACACATTACCTTCGTCAGTTAGGTATTAATGAAACATTAGATATTTTGGCGATATGATTTTCCAAGCGATAGTATTATATAAATGTCATAAATAGTATTTACATAAATGTCAATGAGACAATCTATGACAGACCATGATAAATTAAAGGTACCTTTGTGAATGAGGCGTTGCAAACCAGAGTATGATACATTCATGTGTGTATCTTTTCCATCAGCCGATTTAAGAACATCAAATCCCAAGTAATCTTTGAATGGCAAAATGTTTTTATTAAAATGTGCCCAACGAATATCACCATAACCTTCCATACTGAACGTTTTGTTTACTATTGACACAGAGAGTCTTTTTGCTGCCTCTGAGTAAATGGTGTATCTTTCCGGATCCGCCATCATCAGGATCCTACAACATATGGTCATGTATGTATATAGTTGGTGTTATTGAAGCTATATATCTACAGGATTCTAATTATTCAGTACCAGTAAGTTACACAACACCTTAAATCTGACCTGGTCTGATCATGAAGCTACAGGTGTGATAAATTCATCTCCATCTACATAATAAAATAATTTTGACCACCTTCATCAAGCTGAAGATTAAGTCAAGGTCACTGAGAGAGTGAGACGGCTTAAATGATAAAAGGAAGTTGAGGTCACGGAGAGAGTGAGAGGGCTTAAATGATAAAAGGAAGTCGAGGTCACTGAGAGAGTGAGAGGGCTTAAATGATAAAAGGAAGTCGAGGTCACTGAGACAATGAGAGGGCTTAAATGATAAAAGGAAGTCGAGGTCACGGAGAGAGTGAGAGGGCTTAAATGATAAAAGGAAGTCAGACATAAGAGAAGTGGGAACAAAACTTAATAAAGAGAGTAAATTGATGAGTTGGTGGCATAAAATGAGGGTATTGATGTAATATCTGTTGACAAAGAGTTTCAAAACAAAGATAAAACAAAGACGAAACAAAATAAAGTAAACTATAATTACATATTATATGATCAGTTGGTGTTAACATACATAATGTAAAAACATATATATATACAGGCTATCACCACTAAAAGATTAAATGACATTTGTGCTGATTGTGTCACAGGACTGGTGGTTGGGCCAATCCCTACCTACATGTACCTTTAGCTACTTAAAACTTAAGAAAACGTCACTGGATTTCTAAATTCTTAGCACAGCCTAACTCATTACCAACATCACTAGCCCTTAGTGAGGATTTACCTTCTTTTGAGTCCTCACTTGAAGGTTACCATGAGTCTCTCTACTAATTTTGCATCCTCAGTATGTACATAGCTTTAATATAATACATAAAAAAAAAAAATGAAGTGTTTTGAAGGGACCACCCCAATAGGTCCTACCTTGCCCTTTGAAGTGACAATATAAGCTATATGTAAACACTGTTTAGTTAATGAAGATATCACAGGCTAACAACAATTCATAATATGCAAAACAGAATTTCAAACACTTACTAATTACCCAGTTAGATGGCCGGGTAAAAGATAAAAACATACCAGTCGGCTAAGAACAAACATATATTAGATCATCTGGACAGACATAGGGAACTTACATCTCTGAACCATGGCTTCCGATCAGGATACTCCTGTGAAACACAACTCATTAACACCATTGACGACCTACTGAAATCTTTTGACCGTGGCAAACGAGTGGACATGGCAATACTTGACTTCTCCAAGGCCTTTGACACAGTTCCCAATGACAGACTACTCCACAAGCTGGATTCATATGGGATCAGAGGACCTCTGCACCAATGGCTAAAAACCTTCCTAACTTGCAGGAAGATGCGGGTAGCCATAGAGGGAGAACTCTCTGAAGAGGCAATGGTTGAGTCAGGAGTACCACAAGGAACAGTACTAGGACCCCTACTCTTCCTTTGCCATATAAATGTCTTGCCAGACTCTGTGAAATCAACAGTTAGACTTTTCGCAGATGACTGCCTACTCTATCGAGAAATAATCTCAAACAAGGAGCACGAAACACTTCAAGGTGACCTTAAACAGCTCCAAACTTTGGCTGCAAACTGGGGGATGAAATTTAATGGGAAAAAATGTTACATTCTTTGTATTAAGAAGAAAAAGCCAAACACATACCAACCTAACTGACACAACTTAGATCCTGTACAGACAAACCCATACCTAGGATTACAACTATCAGGGGAAAAGAAGTGAAGATAGAACAGAAAATCTAAAATGCAATCAGGAACATATATTAGTAGTACACCACAGGGGCATGGATCGCTTTACTTGTAATATTAAAAATAGGGGTCTCATATACTTAAAGAATATGAGACCCCTATTGTTTAATATTACAAGTAAAGCGATCCATGTCCCTGTGTAGTACACAGAGTTCACCATCTCAGGTGCGCAACAGTCTAGATTTCTGCTTCGCATACAGTTCCTTCTGTGGGCTAACCAGTGTACAAAAAAAAACCTCATATAATATATATATATATATATACATCATATTAGTGATATTACTTACTTGCAGATCAGACGGCGAACTTATCAGACGTCGAGAGGAATAATATACAAATTCAATTTTTAAATAATTCTATATCGCCATGGCTCTTAGTTTGGCTCTTCGCCTAAAACTGACCTACAATTATAACTCCACGTCGATCCTAAAGCTGCATTCTACTTCCGTTTTCGTTTTGTAAACAGAAAGTAGCATTCTGATGATTTTGAAATAAATTCAGAAATTATCTTGATGTATGCTAGCCATAAGCAAATAATCAGTTATAACTGTTTAATCCAATAGAGATAGTTTTTGTATAGAATTTATACGTTTTTTTAATTTGTGGGTCATACTGTATGTGCAATCGCAACTTCTCGGCCAATTCCGGCTAGGCGCCTAGCCGGAATTGGCCGAGAAGTTGCGATTGGCTGTATGTGGTAATGTGACGTCATATGCGTTGAAATTTACTGCGCAGGGTATCTTTCTTACCCAATACAACCGAATAATACCCAATACAAGCGCAGATTTAACCAATACAACCCAATACTACCCAATACAAGCGCAGATTTACCCAATACAACCCAATACTACCCAATACAAACATCGATTTACCCAATACAAACATCGATTTACCCAATATACAACCCAATACAAGCGCCGATTTAACCAATACAACCCACTACTACCCAATATACAAACATCGATTTACCCAGGGACGTATAGTGAACCCAATACAAACGCCGATTTATACGATACTTAGAGGTTATTATGACCATTTTGATATCATATCCCTTATCAGCCCGAGAGTCCCGATATCAGCCCGAAGGCGCCGAGGGCTGATATCGGGACCGAGGGCTGATAAGGGGGGTGTTCCCTGAACGAATACATCTTCAGAACAATAGGTAGAAACATCAAAGGGAGGGTAATTATAGTTCGTATCATATATGTATTATATTCATCTGAGATCTTTTACCTGTAGATCTACCTGTGATTTTATAGGTAAAAAGTTATGATTTTAATTTAACTTCCATAAGGTTCCAAAGAATAAAATCAGCATCAAATCTAAGATATTAACATCAAGTTCAATATTTTTATTCGATAAATCCATACTTTACATCAATATATTATTTATAATTAATTTCAAAATAGAACAGTGATAAACATAAATTTCAAATACATTTTACATGTTGTTTTTTTTTTGCATAACGACTGGACTGCCAGATGTATACATACATGTTACACTAAAATCTGCATACTGTGACTTTTTCACTTTTTTTCTAGATCTTACGTGATGTAATTTATCGAGATATTGCAAAGGGTGGGGCAGGTACAGCTCCCCTATAGGGTACCATTCTCATAACCACAAGTTTTATGAACATTCCTAAATTAGGGAAATTCCTTTACTTAAAATTATCCTATATATAGTAAATCATTACAAAATTTAAGGAAAATTCCTTTAACTTTCCAATAAGGCTATCATGTGGAAAGAAACAAGAAATGTCCTTACGATAAGAAAACGTTTATGAAACTGATGTCTTAATACTTGTTGAGGGCATTGCCAATTCTCACGTGAAGAGAGTGGTTTCTCCAAATGATTCTAATCCATAGATATATATTTCCGTTTATTCACAGTTTTAAAACTCCTCAAAATAACTTTTCTTCATTTGAAAATTCCTTTTGATTATAAGTTCCAGAGTTTATTCAAATAGACAATATTAAAAAATTCTAAAACTTCATTGATTCTTTCAAAATGCTATTTTATCACTTATACACCTGTTAGGTAATAATGAATACTTACAGATTTGGTTTCCCAAAATATGAAAATATAAATATAAGAAAAGTAAAAAGTAAAAAGATTTTTTATGAATATTTATGTAAGCATATGTGTTTGAGTTCCAACAGTTAAGTTTTACCACGGACTTAGATAACAATCTGATTCCGTGGTTTCACAGGTAGATTCACATCTTGAAACTCAGACACTTTTTAAGAAAAAGACTATAACCCCTATCAAAACAAGTTTCCCTACAGGTAAATTAAACATGTATGCGTTCAGGGAATCAGCCTGATAAGGGATATGATATCAAAATGGTCATATTATAAACTTTTTATCTTATGTTCAAGTAACAAAAAATCAAGTCAACAGGAAAAACAATTAGATAATTTAATCAACAATGTCAACTGAAACAGATTATTACAAGATGATATTCAGTGCATTTTCCTTATCAATGAGGTCATCCAATTCAAGTATTCTAAACGCTAGAGAAATAAGTATTTCCTCTCCCTGGTTTGTTAACATTTTGTTTGTTGACGTCTGCTCAACACACTGTCTAAGCAAAAAACCGGATTTTACTCGGAACGCTTCGGGTGCTTCCCATATCCAATACAGAAGTAGAGGTGTTACGAACACGAACAGGGGGTGCATTACGATAATTGTTATCGCATGGGGG